ATATTTAATTTTCCTCCATTTAAATATAATAGTTAAGGAAAATATTACAGGTATTTTAAAGTTTGATATAAATTTTCAAAAATAGTTCCTCTAAAGTCTATATTAATCAAAGTGTCTGATAATTTTTATAAGTAAATCAAACTTTTAAATGTTAATTTTTTGCATTTTTTTATATTTATTTCAGTTAAAGTCAAATTTTAACAAATACCTAAAATATCTTAATCAAGTATTTCAGTTTTTTTAAAACAAATTTTATTGATTGTCTAAAAATTGTACATTAATCTTATAAATTTTATTTCATTATTATTAATAATTATATGCTGATTCTATTTGAGTAATTTCTCATAAAATTAATTTGCTGTTAATTAATTTTTCTATTCAGATTTATCTTAATTGTCTAATTAAAGTGGTTTATTATTGAGTAGTAATCGTTCACAGCCAACACAACTTTTAAATAAATCATATGTTTCTGGTTCTAAAATAATTTAATCTGTTGTTATTATTTTGGTGAGAATATTTTAAGTTTATAATAAATTTAACACTACTGTTGATATATTTTAAATATTTTTTGTTGATGTATATATTTCTATTAATTAAATTTCAGATAAGTGATTTCTGATATAATATGTACACAATTCTGGTATACTAAATTTAAATATATCTGTTTATCCTCCATTCTCACTTGTACCACTAATTCCTAGGTATTTTAATTAATTAAATTTGCCTGTATCAAAGGCTTTCTTTAAATGTTCAGCTTAAATCTATGTAGAATAAGCCAAATTCAAATCTGATAAATTCTTCAAAGGTTTATTTGTTAAATATTCCAAAGAAGATTCAGTTATTTATGGTAAATTAGAAATATCTAAACTTTTTAATTAATTTGTTAATGTATAATGAGCATCACACAATAAATAAATTGATTTATCAGATATATATCTACATCCAGAAAAAGATATTGCTCTAAGATTTTTAAGCAATTTCCCAGCTTCAACCATAGATTAAATTAATTTGTCATTTATATAACAATTTGATAGATCCAACTTATTTAATTTAGTTTTACTTGCTCCTAACAAAGCATATCCATTTTTTTTAAATATACTTTCTTCAACATCTGTAATAGATCCTTGAAAACTCAATAGATCCAATTATTTTACATGTTTAGAATCATGAATAAAATGAAATACAGATAAAGATAATTTACAATCATTAGCAATTAAAACTCTTAATTCTTTGTAATGACAACTAAAAATTACTTAAATAAGTTTATCAGATGCTAATCCACTTATATTAATAGATATTAAATTCACTAATGATTTATCTCTAAATAATTATAATAATGTTTCTTCTTTAAATTTACTATATGATATATTTAAAATCTATAAATATTATGGTACTGATAAATATATTTAAGTGTAAGATAAATCTAATTTCTATACTCCAAAATTTTATAAAAGAGAAATTCCTTCATCAGTAATATTAGGACATCCTTTAAAACTTAATTCTTTAATGCTTTTAAGATTATTTCCTTATATTAGACCAGAAAGAATGGAATCTTTAAAATTGGAACCATCAAGTATTAATGATTCTAAATTAGGATTAAGATTGCATTAATCCAAAATTAGATTAAAATCTTCTTCTTTAAGATCAGCTTGTATTTCTACTTGTAAAATTGGTATCTTTTAATTTATTTTACATAAAGTTCTAAGTTATAATTTTTAATCTTAATAAATAGCATTTTATATATTGATTTATAGAATTGTAAGTAATGTTTTTAATGCAATAAACCATATTTATCTTTTAATCTATTTATTTATTATTATGACTTTGTTTTTCACATCCCCTTAACGAGAACAATTTAAAAATATTAAAGAACTTAGACAATTATTATTAATGAATACCCTCTTTAATCAAACTCATAATGGTTAAAATTACTCAAGATAGCATTATCTATAGGAGTAAACAAATTATTCGGAAGTTGCTCAAAAGACTATCCATCTATTCTTTAATTCTCATTAATCATAAATAAATTACAATCAACTCTTTCATATTATTCCACTCTGCTGTAAATGTATAACATTATTCTTTTATTTTTATATTTAATTAAACATTTCCTCTCTCTCCAATATCACCTATTCCAATAGTTTAATTATCTTAATTTAAATAATGTATTTTATCATCTACAATACTTTTACTACATTTCTTTATTACATCACTAATTTTTACACCAGAAGTCAATTCCAAATACTTTAAAATATGAATATCTTTCATTTCATTCAATTATTTGAATTAAACAAGTTGATCATTATATATGATAACTATAGCAGATTAATTTGAATAAGGAATACTATTACTATTTTAATTGTCTAATTAATCTATTTATTCTATAAATTCCTAATTTTCTTCATTCAAAATACTATCCATAAATGTAAAGGGTATTATTTTATTCATACTCAAATCTTCAATATGCATAATTATTTATGGTCTCACACCCTTTAATTATAAACCTGTATAAAATTCAATGCAATTTGCTAATCCTAAATTCACTTGACCTTTTTACTTTGACAGTCTCATTGTTTTGCAGATTATATACATTTAATCATCATTCATAATAATTTCGTATTTGATAATATCTACTAAAATTCCATTTAAACCAAGATTTCTTAATCTTTAATTTATCATCATTTAATGATTGATTAATTATTCAGCCATTTCAATTCTCTGTTCTTAAGTTCCATGTGAATTAATTGTAATTATTAATAACGAATACTTTTCGTTTGATATTATTTGAATTTATTCAAAATCATGATGATTGTATATTAAATCTGGTTTATTTAATATGCTTTTGAATTCTTCAATTAATGCACTTTCGATATTGATATTTAAATTCATAAATATTTTATATGATTAATAATAATTAAATTATTGAATCTTATTAAAATATATGTTCTGGGATTTATTTATTATATATATAGATATATATTAAGAATCCGCGTTAGTATAGTGGTTAGTATTCAAGCCTGTCACGTTTGAGGCCCGGGTTCAATTCCCGGACGCGGAGCTTTTTTTTTTATTTTTATTTTTATTTTTATTATTACTCTTCATTATACTTCTTAAATATGTTTAAAAAATAAACATAATAATTATTTATCTCTGTGTTTATTTTACATATAATAAATTGAATAAATAAATCAAAACAATAATTTAAATTAAAGGATAATAGTTGGATTTTTAAGAATCAAAAAGTTAATATCTATAAAGTGAATCAAATTTAATTAATGAATTATATTTGATTTATTATTGATATTAATCATTTTAAATGAAAATTTATCTTAAAATCAGTTAAATTATGATTTAAGCTTATGGATTCACAAATTTGATTCTAATCATTTTTATATTATATTTATACTTCCAATCAATATAACACTTGAATTTAAATATGGTATTCTAAAATAAATTAATAAATTATATTTCTTCAATTTCTTCGCACTTTTGAATAATATCTAAAAATCAAAAGTAATTAATAAGAATATTCAATACATTATAGATGATGAAATATTTTTAAAAGTATTTTTAGTAAAAACTTTAACGTAAAATTATAAAAAAATATGTAAAGATATATTAGGCTTTAATTTTAGGATTGATTCATATTTAAGGTGTATAGATCTAGTTTCTTAAAGACTTGATCTAATGATCCAAAATTAAGATTTTATTAATTAATAAATGATGTATAAACCACTTTTAATAAATATTTAATCAGCGTTTTTACATTTATAACTAATATTTGCTATTAAAAAATTTAACTCATTTAATATTATTTTACTTTTGATTTAATATGTATTTATCTAAAAATTTAATATCATTATAAGAACTTTAATTTATTAGGAATTTAATTCATTGACTTAATTTATAAAGAGAATAACTAAAGAAAAATAATTATTAATTTATTAATTATAATGAATGATACAAGGGAAAATGAAATTTATGAACAAGCTATGAACTAAGTTGAGTCAGGTATTCTCAAATATCTCTGTGTTGAATTAAAGTTGGAATTATTCACTGATCCACAGATGAAATAATTTATATATGAAGACTTGAAGAAAAAACAGATATTTTCTTTACGCTCTTTAGACTCTGATAATGAAGCACAAGACATTGTTTCTTATTCCACAAGCAATAGATGCTCCTTCTCATTAATTAGATCTCCACTAATTCTCAAAAGATTAAGTGTTCCCATAACTGAATAAATTTGATGTTTTGTATATGTTTAAATTTGTTTAAATCCATCATTTATACTTTTCTTAAATTATTTATTTAGAAGAAATTCAAGATATTGAATATCCTTAAGGAAATTTTCAGTAATTTTATTGACTTATTATATCAAATTTTACTCCTTATCAGGTAATAATGAAATAATATATATATGATGATTTCATAAAAATATTTATAATATGAATCAGCTTAAAATATATCAATAATTTAGAAGAAATAAAAGTTATTTTTTAATGAATAATTATTTCAAATGAAGAATAAGTTTTTTAATTTATTTTAGTAACAAATTAATAGTAAAAGATTCACAATTCAATCTATTCTCTAATAAAAACTTATATGAATAGAAATAATATCTATTTATGAAAAAAAGAAGATTTAAATTATTATTCATTTATTACTTCTTAAAATATTTAACATCAATTTTTATTGAATTAATTCAATTTTAAGTTATCTCATTTTATTAATATCTAGATCTTTTATAATAAAAAATAGCTTTAAAGAAGTATGTACCTTTAGTTAATTTTTAAGCAAAACAAAAATATTAAATTTTTTAAAAGTATGTTTTAATAAAGATATTATAATGATGATTTTTTTAATTAAGAAAGGAATATAAAATATAAATTAAATTTAGAGAGTATATTAAATTAATAGTAAATTTGTATATAATGATGAGTATTTGTCTTTTGTAAATGATATATATTGAAATTATAAGATTATATCTCATTTTTTAATCAAAATTTAGATTTTAATTTATTTACACTATTTTCAAGCACTTAATGAAAATTCTCTTTTTTAACTATATTCTATAAATAATATATATACGTTAATGCTCTAATTCAGCATTTCTTAATTCTGTATATTTCTTAATTTATTAATTCATAAAGTTTTATAATTAAGTTCTGCAATCTAAATTATTATCACTAAATTAAACTAGACATTCAAATTGCAGTTTAAATCCTTCAGTTTTAATTAATTCATGTAATTCTTCATTTGATATATTATTTTTATTAAACTAATTACATAATTATACAATTCTATGTGAATTTTATAATGCTTTTTATATTCTTTCTTTTTTAGTTAATGTTTAAGTAGGAGGTTCAATAACTTATGAGACAGTTCTCTTTTTTCTTATATCTTCAGAAGGTTTAATGCTTTCTCTACTTTCAGTTTTTTATATGGTTTTTGGTTTAGACATTTGATTATAATGAGATTTCTAGTCTAATTTATGATTAATAGTCTCATTTTCAGAACTTTTTGTAGTTTCAAAACTCTAAAAATTCTATTTTAATTAAAGAGGAGGAAAAATACTCTTTGGACTTTTTTATTTATTCTTATTAGAACTTGGCTATAATTACAAGGATCTAATATGTAATAATTTGTCATTTTTTAGGATATCAACCATTTCATCAATTGAATATTTATGTAAATCAATAGGTTGTTGAACATTTTCTTTTTCTTATTTTTATTTAAGTTTTTTAGCTATTCTTTCAATTTATTCTTATAATGATCTTGAGCTAGTGCATTTTGTTAATGATTATTAATAACAAGAAACAGTGCTTTAAAATCTATTAGTAACTCCTTGATTAAAATGATTTTTAGGCAATATCCCATTTAATTTAAGTTATTCTTATTAATTTACAATCAAAAGTGGGTTTTGATTTTCTTTATTAACTTTGGATGATTAATTAACAAGCATTATGATTTGTTTCCGTTAACAAATTTTATTAATAATATTTTCGTGAATTAATTCTGATAGAATAATTAGAACATTTTAAACATTAAATTTGAATACCTAATAATGTATATAAATATTATGATCATCTCAATTTGAATAATAGTGTAAAATATATAATTACTATTAAAAAAATAAAAGTTGAAATATAACATCTTTATTGATCAATTATTGTAAATAGTATAATTTACATAGTATTATTAAATGAAAGACTAATAATCTCATTAGTATATAGAAAATAAATAATATTCAAATTTCAAAATATAATTATATTAGTCTTAAAATATATATATATATATTGTATGAATCACTAAGACAATGCTATAAAGGGAGTTTTAAAATAATAATTGATTGTAGATTCAGAAAGTGGGCCATATAAAACAATTTAAGAAGCAATTGATAAGGCTGAACCTAACACAGTTATAAAAATAGCACCAGGCCTTTATTCTTCAAACATATTGATAAATAAGCCTGGCCTACGTTTAGAGCCTAAAGAAAAAGTTGGAGATATAATTATTGTTGTATCCTCAAAACCTACAATATTAGTGGATTTAAAAAAAGATGAGCGTTGCACTTTGATTGGATTAAAAATGTCTCATAGTGGCACAAGTGAAGAAGTTGAAGAATTAGAAAAACTAATAGAAGGACAAGAAATAGCAAAACATTTATTTGGTGGTCATGAAGATGGTGCAGCTGGAATGGAATCTAATCCAGATGAAGAATTTGTAAGTAAAGTACCTATTGAAACAAACATGAATTGTGTTGTTTTATTAAATGGTGGTAAGTTATTTATGGAGGATTGTTTAATTGCTTTAAAGTAAGTAATTAATTTACTAATTTAGTTTTATTGTAAAATCATTTAAAGGTATATTACCAGGAATTGCAATAAATAATGGAGCAGAAGCCTTGTTTATAAGATGTGAAATAAAAGGAACTTCATCTAAAAACTAAGATGCAAAAACTATTGGTATTTTACTAAAATTGGGTGATCTAATAATTAAGGATAGTAAGGTTCATAATCACACATATGGAGGGATTCTGATTTAGTAAGCTACTACAAATAAAAGTGTTCGAATAATGAATAGCAAAATCATTTAGAATAAGAAAGTTGGTATTCATGTAGTAGGTGCAGATGCTGTTCCATAAATAGAATAATGCAGAATTGAAAACAATGAAGGTCCAGGTATTAAAGTAGGTATTGGTAATAAAGCAAAAATATTTGGTAATGAAATTAAAACAAATATTATTGGAATTGAAGTATTGTCTGCAGATCCTTAGATATTTAATAATAAAATTGATAAGAATTTTACAGATGGCATTTTGACTAAGGTTTTTGAATAATTAAGATGTGATGGTAAGATTAAATCAAATTAGACTATATCTGGAAATAAAGAAAATGGAGTTCATTGTACTGGATAAAATAATTTCACAAGGATTGAATCTAATATATTTATAGGTTATAATAAAAAAGCAGGAATCAAAGCAGATACAGAATCACGCATTTCTATATTTAAAAATAAAATCTCAAAAAATTTAGGTTAAGGAGTTTTATTAGTTGAAACATCATCAGCTGTTATAGAAAAAAATGAAATTACAGATAATATTAAAGCTAATATAGCTTTAGGAGGAGCAAATTCAGTAGATACATTTATTGTTGAGAATAAAATTCTTGGTGGTAGATGTGAAGGTATTTTCTTAATTGAATGTGGTAAATGTTGGATATTTAGAAACACTATTGCTGAAAATGTATTAATTTATAAAATACAATAGAATGATGGTATTGTTTGTATAACGGCAGTTCCAGTTATAAAACTAAATAATATATAGAAAAATAAAAGTAATGGAATAATGATACTAAAGGATAGTAGACCTGAAATTATAGAAAATAATATTAATGATAATGATGGTATAGGATTGTTTATTAGAGATAAGAGTCATGGAAAAATATTAAATAATATGATTAAATCAAATGAAATTGAGTTAGTTGTTGAAAGAAGAAACCCATCATTGGAATCTATTGTATAAGAAAATAAAGTAAGTGGTGATATTAGAATACCTTAAAATTATGATTGCACAATATAATGAATTTATTACCCTAAATTCTTATAAATAATAAATTTATATAACAAATATATGAAACTTTTGAATAACAACACATAGGTACCAAAATTAATTAAAATGAATATCCATTAAAATATATATATAATTTTATTATAGTATTTTCATTTTAGCTTTTTGACATATATCAAATATATTTAATTATTCACAAATATTCAATAACTTTTATCAAATTGATTCATTATATTATTGATATCAGATTCTTAGGTTTTATACACCCAATAAAAGATGATCTTTATTACTTTTTAATTCTAATCTACTTATATCTTCCTGAATCATTAAAAATTCTTTAATGAAATGAAATATTTGAACTTGAATTAACAATAAATCTTTATATCTTTTATTGATAAATTATGAGGTTTAGTCATTTTTTCATTAAAATTCAAAGCAACTTTTAGGTGATTTTTTATTATTTTTAATTTTGAAGTTTCATTGAAATCGTAAATAAATTTATATAATATAATCAAACTACATTAATCTAGAATATAAGTCATACTATTGAATAATGTAGAAGTATAGGATTATAAATGTAAATATTTATTATCTTAGAAAATATTCAATCCAAAAAGAAAACAAAAATATTTATATAAGATATTAAAATAAATGATAACGTGAGTGAACAAGTTCTGAGATTTATTTATTATATATATAGAAATATATTAAGAATCCGCGTTAGTATAGTGGTTAGTATTCAAGCCTGTCACGTTTGAGGCCCGGGTTCAATTCCCGGACGCGGAGCTTTTTTTTTTTATTTTATTTTTATTATTACTCTTCATTATACTTCTTAATTATGTTTAGTGTAAGATTATTTCATTTTCTTATGGTATTGAATGAACGAAATATTTTAATATGGTTTGATTTTTAAAATATAATTAAGGATTAATATTAAATCAGATTATTTTAATGAATATAAATTAATTAGACATTTGTGTAAATATTTAAGAAGAAAACGAAGACTTAAAATTTATTTAATATTAGGTTCAACTAAATGGAAATAAATATAATTTAGAGGATATAGTCTTTGTTAATAATTTTGATTAAATAAAGGTGTATTAAGAAAAATTATAAAAAATGGAATTTTTAGCTTTTATTGTGAATAGATGTAAGATAATTCCAATCAATCTTTTTAAGATATGTGTTTGTAATTTAATCATTAATAATGAAAAATATAATGGTTTAAAAATCATTGATGAATAATAGATAAAAATACATGATTTAATATTAAAAGCTTCTTAAGAATCAATTTAAGAATGTTATTAGATATTAAATATTTTTAAATCTTAATTATAAAGAATTGTATATTTACATTAGATAGTAATGGTTGATACATTTACTAAAGTAGAGCAAAGAATTTAGTTTATATAAGATTGCATAGATTATCTTTCAAAATATAAATATGAAGAGGGATCACATATAGGCCAATATATTTAGGAGAAGAGGTTGTTTGCTTTAAATGATCTATTTAGACTTTAATCAAGTCTAATGAGGAAAGATTTGTGTCAAACAACTCTTTTTTAATTGTAGTAATAATCTGGTATACTTCAGAATTTAAATATATAAACTAGGATTATTAGATTGCAACTTGATTTTAATTAAGCAGAGTATATTTACACTTTAAATAAAAAGGTATAAATAAATATGTAAAATATTTCTGAAATATTATAAACTTTAAAACTTTTAGATATTTATGATATAAATAAGAAATTGCATTAAATACCTGTTATTTAATAAAATAATTAAGAAATAATATATTAGATAAATGATTATTTAATAAAAATAATGTAAATTATATTTGGAAGTCTATAGCTATAAGAAAATTCATTATTAGGTGAATTATTATAATAACATAAATAATATTTTGCAATGGTTTGTAATTTATAAATTCGTTATACTTATCATATATGTTTAAGTCTTACTATGTAACAATAAGAAGCATTAGAGAATAGTTTGAAAGCATTTTAATTGGCAGTTGAGATAAATGATATAAATGATATAATTGAAATATTTATAAATACTTAACTATTATATATTGAAACTGATTAAGAGGCTGAAGGATTGAAATTCAGTTAATAATTTATAGATAATTTTGGTAGCTAAAGTATTTAATATTAATAATTAAATTATAGAAATAAAATTAAGTCATAAAGCTGAATATAAATAAATAGAAGATAATATGACTTATATGATGGTTAAATTAAGAATGAATGAATGATTTATAATATTTTTATAATATAAATTTAGTATATAAATATATTTAGAGAGAATATTAGAAACACAATATATGGTTATATAAAAAGTAATACAAAAATAATTATCAATTTTATAATAATTTTTAAATAGAAATTTCTTTGACAACCTTATATTGTCCTCTTCCATATGTTATAAATTAAAAATGTTAATACAGAAGAGATAAGGTATCTCAATAAGAAACCATAAAAATATAGAAAATTCGATTAACAATGATACATTATATTTATTTTAATTCTTATTACTAAAAATAATGAGCATTTTGCAAGAAAGGGAAAACAATAATCATCCATAAGGTTCAGAATATTAATAAATTGTTTAAATAATATCATAACCATCTGTTGAAAATTGGAGGAGATATACCTTTACAATCAAAGAAAAGCAATATGTTTATTAAGGTCCATTAAATGAAGAAACTGAAGAATTGATATAAGTTTTGTAAAATTATGAAAATGCTGAAAATGTTTAAGCAAAAAATGCAATAGAATCTCTTTCTAAAAAATGGTTGGATTATGAAAAAAAATTATATAGAGAATGGAGTTGTTTTAATTAGAGGTTGAAGTTTGATACAAATTAAATTATAATTACAATCGTATATT